TTATAGTCTATCCTACTTAATAAAGTTTGATTCACATCTAAGCTTTCTTCTTTGAAAAATATTTTTTTGATGGCACTAATTGTAACATGGTAGCAACCATTTGCAAAAGAAGAATTATGAGGGATGCATATTGTTGTTTGTTTCACCAATTGGGATTGACTTACATCAATTTATAACTACAATGGTGTTAATGCACATGTCAATAATCCACTAATAGAATAGCGGATTGATTGTTTTGCACTAATGTCATGATCATCTATTATAATGATAAGCTTATTCCAAGGCTATATTGATGAAACATTCAACAACCTTGACTACTTGCTCCAAAGTCCAAGAATTAGTACAAAATAAGCAAAAAACTTAAGATTCTTCTTATATTCTAAGTGGATAAAAACCATGTCCTCATTAACTTGCCAAAGTATCATCTATACCTTAGTTGATGGTGGTAAATGTTCAAAGAGAGGTCCAACAATAAAAATTAGATTGGATTTTAATTAGTGATGATTTTAGATTCTTAAACTAGAACATTGAATTACAAACTTATTCCAACAACATAACAATACATATTATTATTAAAAAGAAGTTGAAATACACTAGATTATAAAATACATTTGATGCCTCAAAAATAATTTTTTTAAAGTAAGAAAAAATAGAATGTTATTTTCTACTTTATTATCAATACTTATTGAATTTTGCTCATTTTTTGTGAAATAGAAACTCATATAGAATGATCTACATCTATAGACTTAATATACACTATAATGCATTGAGGTATAATAAATATCAATGAAGCTAGCACCAGAGTTCATGAAGTGATTTAGCCTTTGTGATTGATCAATTAGCTATATATCAATTAAGTGGCATCCATAATACCATATCACTTTCAAATCTATCAAGTCAATGTTCTTGTGGTAATTGCTTCCACATAGATCAATCAAAACCTTTGATTTTGCTTGTAATTGCTAGCTTAGCCACAAAATAGCTTTATTGGGACATCCAAGATGCTGCCTAAACAATTATTAATTTGGCATTTACAACAACAATCATACGTACATTCATTCATCTTGCATGCATTCATTTATTTGCCAAAAATAGTTGTGCCGTAGTCTACATGTTAAGGACACAAATTAGAAGAAGATACATAATCTCGTAGAATCTATGTCAAAAAGAAAATGACAAAATAGAAGAAAGTATGTATATTCAGGGAAGAACTAGAATGGCTATTGCCAAAGACTAGAAAACAAAAGACTCTTGAAACTAAACTAAAAGCAAGAAAGGAGTTGACAAGAGTGAAGAAGGCCTCACTTTTGCCTCTATATATACTACTTAACTAAGAACTATGTGGCGACATGCTATAGGACCTCTAATAAGCATACAACTTAGAAGACACATGTCTAATTTGCAAGGCAAGTTTCTTAGGTGTGTACCATGTGTCCAACTTGTACTACAAGTGGTCAACATGCCAACATGTAGCCTCCTTGTTGGCCAAGTTTTCAACCTACCAATCACTTATAGACATGTATAAAGGCAAAGCAACATCTATGAAGCTTCTAGGAAGCTTTCTACAAGATATTATCATATTTATCTACTTTGACTTACTTCTACTTATTCTTATTATCTAGATAATTATCAGAGTAAATATGTATGTCTGTTACACTACTTGGCACAAGGACTTGTATTATGCCAAAAAATGCCAAAGAAAGCCAATTGATTCCTCTACAACATGCTAGTTTGGCTAGGTTGCACTTAAAAAAGCATAATTGTGATATCCTATCAAGTTGAAAGATAGATTTGTTATTATCACAAAATTGAGGGATAGACTTGCTATTATCAAGAATGCAAGGATATTCTTAATATTTTAATATATTTTAAACATATATATGATATTTTTCCTAATAATAATAATACAAATAATACTAACAAGCCATTTACAAATAATTATTTTTAGTATTTATATGCCTCTGAATATGAAAGTTCCAAATGCTTTTTGAAAATTTATTTGATACACAAATTTTGCTCTAATTAAAACTTTCAAATATTTTTTCTTTTCCATGTATATATTTTTTATTAATAAAAATGGATAAATTTAAATACATTCAATATATATATATATATATATAATATACACACATATGTATATATGTATGTATGTATGTATGTATGTATGTATGTATGTATGTATGTATGTATTTTATTTTATTTGTTCTTTATTCTTTTTTGTACAAAAACAACTAAACAAATATCCAAGTCTGTGTGTGTAAATGTATCAACAACTTTAAAATCTTTATTAACTAATTTATATCTTTTATATATATATATATATATATATATATATATATAGACTTCATCTTGTGTAAATAAAAAATAAAAAGCCATATTTGACCATGTAAAATTATAAATATTTTCTTCACTAAAAAGCTATAAGAAAATATTTTCAATGGAGATTTCTTTCAAATATTGAATTCACTATCAAAAGCCTTTTGTAGCTTAAATTGCTTGTAACTATATACAAGTATTATTATTGTTGCCCTTCTAGATGTTAATGGAGAAAACCAATTCTTTATCACTCTCAGAAACAAAAGCTTCAAACTAATTGGTCTAAAATTTTACTTCTAATCTAGTGGCAAATCTATGCACTTGTCCACTATTTTAAAATTTAAAATTTTTAAAATCAATTTTTTATTTTTTTATTTTTAAATCAGCTAAACAAATGAAAAGACCATAATCTGAAGCAAAGGAAATATTGTATGTCAAGAACTGTGTTATTATATTCAATTTGATGGGTTTAGAGTATGTTTTGATTTACTGATTCTAATTAACTATACAATGGCACCGAGCTGCTGTTTTTAGTTTGTTGATTGTCATTGAAATCCATGTCAAATAAGATCATAGTGTAAAAACAAATAACTGCTAATTTTACCCTCTACTTAGCAGAAGTACACTTTGTGCTCATTTATCTTGTATAATCTTCAATATTCTTAGTTGACAACTCTCAAGTCATACAACATTTTTACAAATAACATGTTAATATTATTTTCATAATCATAAAGTCATGTTTTCTAATATTTGAGTTTACTTCTTTTCTTTTCTTTTCTTTTCTTTTCTTTTATTATTATAAATTTTTACTATATATGATTTTCATATATTTTTGCAATTTTATATTCTAAGTATAATCTCTAAATAAGGGGCGATTTACTTTTGATATTGTAGAATATATATGCTATAAAACTAAGAAACAAGAATTGCAATTTGCATAATTGAATTTGTTATTTTTACTAACCTTTGATCATTTTCCAACAATAAGAAAAAAATTCATAAACAAGTAGGACGATCTTTTTTTTTATTTGGTTATTTTTACTTCTTTTTCTTTTTCCTCAATTGAACTGCTGTTAGTTGATGTCATGAAGAACTTATATTTTATTGTGTTTCAATATAAGAATAAACTACTTTATTCTTAACATAAATAACCTAAAAAATACATTAGTGAGCTATTTATTAAAAATTTTATATTATAGAGCATTCATTTTATTTTTCTTTCATCCAAAATAAATGAATTTCATCCATGTGTGTATTATGGCGTTTTCATCCAGTAATTTATTCATAAAAAAAGTTTTGAATGAATTAAAAAAATTATAATTCACATACAGACATACATATCAACAAATATATAAAATGGGTGAAAGAATTTTTGTTTTGCATAAATTATGTAAGTTTTACCTAACTAATATCCAATTAGGTATTTACAAAAAGTAATATTATAATGTCAGATTTGAAGTTTACATGCATTATTGTTTAAAAAGTATCAAATGTAGTTGATCTCACCATATTTTCTCATACTGTTTGTTTGGAATTTGTACTTCATAATGATTCTTACCTTGACACAACACAAAGTTGTTGAATAGTTCTGTAGTAAAAAATAATTAATGAACTAAATGGAAGTAATTTGGGGTAGATTTGCAGTTTTTACAATTAAATGTGATGGACAGTTTCAACAAAATAAACCATATCCAAGTTCAGATATGTGAGTATATCCCTGACAACTTATCACTGAGTTTACACAAGATAGGGAGCAATCTTTAACCTCTAATTGTGGAAATGGTTTGGAAACAACCTGGCTCACAACTTCAAAGAATGCTGTAAAACTCACATGTATTTATGGGAAAACTTGCTGGGCTTGAAGGTTAAGGGTCAAAAATTTCCATGCAGCTTCAGCTTTTACCAAGTCACCTGGAATGGCACAACAATCCAAGCGACAATGCCATGAAAGTGGCATTAAAAAACACTTCTGATACTCAGGTATCCCAACTCTTCCCTAAGGTTCCAAAACAAACCACTATTTGATTTCCAAATCCTCAAAAGAATGTGTGCATCCAAAGCACAGATTCCATTCCCACCTTGGAAAGCTGTCAAACATCGATGAGAAGGAGGACTTGATTGCCAATGTGCATGCACATTCCCTGTCTCCGACGAGTCCATCCAGGAGATGGGCCCAGGCTGTGTGCATGTCTGTCTGGTCAAAAGTCTAGGTCCCATTAGGGATGGTCTGAGGAACAGAGTCAAGTTCAACCTCGAGGGCTGGTCATCTTTTCAGAATGGATAAGTTTAGTCCCTTTTGTACACCTCTGAAATGTAGTGTGGCTGTTAATGTGACTTTTCAGTACATCCTGCGATGTGACCTGCGTAGAGCTCAGTTCTACTAGATAAACTTGGTGCATAAAGTGGTATTATCACAGATATTCTCATATATATCCTCAAGTTTCTTCCTTAACAGTCGTCCTCATTAAATAGGGCTAGAACGTACTTGAGCATTACATGAGCGGTACAAGTTTCTGTTCCTTTCAAGAAACAAGCACTAGCGTTGCATACGTGAAAACAAGTTTCCACTCCTCAATGGTTTTCCCTTCTACAGCAAAGGATCAATCACATACGCCACCCCTACCCCCACAGAGACATGGCTTAGTGGCAACAAAACTAGTGTCAGATTTACAACTCGCAACATAAGATAGGAATCGAAACCATGCACAATGATTGAAAATCTCAAGTGATACACTGCGGGAGGTAGGAAGATTCCAGGCCAATCGTAGCTGCCTTCAGTTGGGCATTATGGTGAGTAGAACTGCATCTAACGATCGCTGAATGATGTGCGACAATACACATTCTACTCACTATCTCGTGGATCCTCTCCTAAGAACATCATCCCAGTACCTCAATTTCAAGGAAGGCACTTAGTATGTGCTGGGATGTTCCTGAATTTGAGGTGAGATTTCTTATGAGAATATTTTGCCATTCCTTTCGCTGTTTCAGAGGGACTGATTTTCTGCATAAGTACTTCATCCTAAGAAACTGGGCAGATCACTTCCGCAAAAATGTAAATCGTGCATATGCTTAGGCAAACTCAAGCAAAAGAGAAGCCTGTCATCTCGAAGCAGAGTCGAAGCAGCAGTTATGTACGGAAGTGTGACAAAGAGTTAAAAAACTGTATTGCAAATCGTACGCCACAAAGAATCAATGCTGATAGTTCCTGATTGCACGGCTGGATATTCCATGAAGCAGCTTGGTGAACCCAGTGAAACTCAACCGACCATCAGACTGTCTAATCCAATCTAGGAACAGCTGCGCCGGTACAGTTGGTGGTAATTTCATCTCCTGAAAAAGGTAAGGGGGAACATTGATAAGAGCCACGTATGTTACAAAGCTGACGAGGAATGCGAAGGAAAGTGGAGTAATATTCTAGCCGTTGATAACTGCGATAATAAAATAAACACTAGACAAGTGTAAGACAAGGACGTACTTTTGCGAGTTCGTCGTAGTTTATGACGCGATTACCCTCTTTCTCAAATATATCATACGCAGCTCGAGCACGTTGATCCCATCGGTCTGTCGCTTCTAAATGGTGCACACTAATGGCTGCTGCACAAAATTCTGAAAAATCCATTTTTTTGAAGTTAAGACCATCCATCTGCAAACATGAAAACAATTCCAGGTGAGGATGGTACGATTTTCTCAGACAAACGTCGAGGAGGGACATTTCAAGAATTAGAACAATCATATTGAGACAAGTATGACAGCATGATTGTTGAACAAAATTGTCAAAATATTTCCAATATTTGAACTACAAACTCCAGCATTTGTACAAAAGTGATCCAATAAAAAAAAACATACCGAAATCAAAACTTCAAAAACCCGTGATTCTTTCATTGCCTCTGTAGAGTTTTTTAACAATGCCTGATCCTCAGCAACAAAATAACAAGATTAGGATACAAAAGATGGTAGAACAAACGGGAGAGATGCAAATTTTCCACGAATTGCATAGTAACCCACTTATACTAAACAACTATTCTCTTCCCAATAGAAACCAGGACAATTGGTATCAAGGCTATCACAAAGCCATCCACCCACCTGTCTGAAATTCTCAAAAGTGACACGTCCACTTTTATTCGGTTCCAGAAGCATAAATTGAGTATGTAGAAAAAAAGTTTCATCTTCAGTCAAGGTCTTCGACAGTGCCTGTAATGATTCACTACCGAGTCAACAAATCTAAATTTTATATCCTAGCAAATCACGAGAAGCCTAGAATCTGGACGTGGAACCGATTACAAAGTGGAAACTTCTAATTGTGCGAGCACACATGACAAAATTATTACATTTCAAGTTAACACCATTTCTGTCCAGTTTCAGAATAAACGATCTGACACTTGTGTACGAAGCTATCTTCCTCTAGCGAACAACATAAAGAAGGACAAACGATAACAAAGCATTTGTCATCACTAACCTTCAAAGCGGCCTTCCTCATGGATGTTCCGCGAAGATAATTTCGCACAAGTCTGTACACTAAGGTATCCAGAGGTATCTTCACACTACTGCTTCGAATCCACGGATGAGCTGCAACTCAATAGAGCAATGTTCATTACTAAAATTATGTTTCAAGGGAGTTTTACGGCGAAGATATTAAAATGGCGATGAGTTATTGATAGAAAAATGATTTTTTCATAATTCTGAACGAGATGAGCAGACTTTCCAATTGCTTATAAAGAGAAGACATACTTAAGGCTTGTGCGGCAGTCATGCGTTTTCGCATATCCTTATTAAGAAGTCGCTTAACAAAATCCTTAGATTCGGCAGAAACCGAAGGCCAAGGAGCTTCTTCAAAGCTTGGATCAGCCCTCAGTACCGCACGAAAAATGCCCGACTCTGTTCGCGCCCAAAACGGCCGACTACCACATAACAAGATGTACGTGATTACCCCAACACTCCATACATCAGCTTCCATAGAATATGACCTGTGCAGCACCTCCGGTGCAACATAGTATGCGCTGCCAACAATATCGTTCAGTCTTTCATCTGGAATGCAACAATAGCTATTAATATCCCTACTTAAAGGCAACCCACACGTATACAAAATCACGTTGCAGTTGCTGCATACAGGCACATCTCAACTTATTTTTTCTAAAAGATGAACAGAGACACCAAACAAACTGTTTCCATATACACTTCGCTAGACTTTTGCTGACTAATCTAAACTCTGAGCAAGGCATTGATAAGTTGTACAGAACTCAGAGAGCCAAAAAAAGCATAGTACACACTCTTGATGAAGAGTATTTAAAGCCTAGTATAAAGCTCAGAGAGCAGAGGAAAAAATGGAATTGTTACTCACCGGGTTTAATGAAATCTGATAATCCAAAGTCAATAGCCTTTAGCTGAGCGTGTTCATCCTTTGTGGTGAACAGAAAGTTCTGCAAACATATATGCGGACAGTACTCTGTGAACGATTGAATTCAACGAAAGAAATAACCTCAAACGAACAATAAAACATATAAGAATGAATTGCTTTCGAACTATAATTGGACGGAAATACGTCACTTAAAAATTCATAAACGTAACATCAAAGGCAGTCGGGAGACTCCACAAATGCAGATCTTCCTCAAGGAGGAAATGAAGTTTCAGGGACAGAAATGGAGGGAAAAAAATATACGTATCACAACAATAGAAAAATTACAGAATGATTGTTTAGAAACATGCTGAAAACATTTTGGTCGCCTTCTCATCAACATTAGGGCATTAGTCTTGCAGACTTGCGAGGTTCAGAATATAAACACCTCGGGCTTAAGATCCCGGTGCACAACACCTTGCAGGTGACAGAATGCAACAACGCTCAAAATCTGCCGCAGGACAATCTTGGCATCTTCCTCTGAATACTTTCCTCCCCTGAAAAAGCGCGTTAAAAGATCAGAAGTAATTTCGTGGCACAGAACACTGCAAAACACCTACGGTAAGAACATAGTTTCTAATAATCACCATTACATTTTTACACGGTATATCACTACGCTTTGTTGGCATGTGTATTGTCGAGAAGCAGCTAATACGTCAGCACTCCATGTAGGACCCCTAAAGAAAGTCCAATTTCTTACCAACTACCTTCTACTGCTCAGGCTGTTTACAAATTCAGACAGAACCACACAAGCAACGTTAACCATACTCGAAACACAGGAATCAAAGACGCACCATCGAAAGAAACTTAACATAAATCAAGCCTAACTGCCAGACGTGTAAATTAACGCATTACCGAGATAAGATGCGATCCAACAGTTCACCTCCTTCACACAATCTGCATGGAATATTAAAAGTGCCTTTCAATATAATGTTGCCAGGAAGCTTGCGGAAAAAGGGCACTGGACCGTGCACGGATCGAAACCCCAACGCACACCAGAGAAAGAATGTTTCAGAATGTAAAATTTCTTATGAATTGTCCTGCTGACCAGATTGACCTCGGCAAAATGAGAAATAGAAGAAAATTTGCTGTGGCAACGAGTTCATCTACTTGATTCTACATGCAATAACAAACCACCTAATAGTTCCCCACAGCAAAGCTGCCACCAGCGCCAAAATCAAATCAAATCCTAAACAGTAGCAAATACTGTGAGACTTGAAAGAGCTGAACAGGGCATTCGACTTGAAGAGATACTGAACATTGAAGTGGATCAGAGACACTGGACATTGTGCAAACTGGCTGCACCGAAATCAGCACGTATTGAGGCTTTACGTTCAGTAAAGGTCTATAACCACTGCTGATCATAGGCGCCTATGAGCCAAAAAAACACTCGATAGGTGCATGACCGCTTACTCCATCACAATGTATACGTTCACATTGTCTTCGCAAGCATCGTAGAACCGCACCAAATTATGATGTCCAGTCAGAGCCTTCAAAATCCTCACTTCTCGGCGCACGTCTTCTATGGCAATTGCGGTCGTCATCTGCCATAATACACCAAAATCTCTGGTTCAAACACCTTCAATCCTACCTGCTTAATCGCATAACTAGCTAAGCTGCACAATAAAGCAAATTTTAGCCACCGAAATCTCCGTGCACCAGACAGGATATCACTTGTCAGCCACGTACACCATCCTCTACCTGGTCATTACCATCTGCTCAACCTACTCTTCGCGTCCGCTGTCCCCAAGGGATGTTCACTAAAGTGCCTGGACGCAAATTTCTTCGTCACTACCGCTCGATGGTTGACCATGTCAGTTGCCCAACCACAACCTAATTCCAATTCTCCATACCCTAGGCTGCTTGCTAATTCACACCAGAACCCCTTCCATCAAGAACTGTCAATCACTGACATTTTTCCTGTCAACACCGCATAGATCCTCCCACTCCATTTGCGCGCACAAATTATCATTTCCTTCTAATAGATTATAGGTAGAGCGATAGAGCGATGGATGGATAGCACATGCTTGTTCAATCCCCTCCTCTCCCTCAACCCCTAACAAAAACATCTGCATGAACAGGTCTCAGCTAGTGCGCAGAACATCCACAATGACCACAGCAACGAACCAAGACGTACTTTCGCTTTCGAGATTATCTTCACTGCCACGGCTTGCCCCTTATGCTCGCCCTTCCGCATTTTCGCATAACAAGTATGACCAAAGTGCCCGCGACCGACTTCGTGTCCCAGCTCATACTTGGAATTGAAGTTCTTCGGAAAGTGGAAATGCTTATCCAAAGACGTCTCGCCATCCGCAACCTCCGCCGGGATCACCCCTCCCTCTTTCGGCTTCGCACCATGCCGTTTCACGAGGCTCGACTGAATGTGTTTCGCGGGAGAAGGAGGAGGGAAAGGCTTCTTGAATGTACTCCGCCCCGGGGTCGAGGGCGCGGGAGAGCTCGCGTAGTGAGGGAGTGGACTACCGGAGGGATGCCGAGGGGACGGATGGCTGCTGCCGAAGGAGGTCCTGGCTCGCATCGGCGATGCTCCGCCATTGTGAGAGCTCCCCGGATTGCCATTGTTCCACGATCCATGCTTCGGCGTCCTAGTAACCTGCACCTTGTGACGCTCCTCCGAGGAATCCTCCCCGTCGCCTTCGTCGCCGTGCTTGCCATAGCACTGGCCCATTGCATCGGACCACCACCCGTGGGACCTTCTTCTTCCTCCTCCGCCCTTCTAACACACACATCGCCTTCTCTTCCACATTCCCCCTCGCACCACTCGATCCTCACGCATTGTGGAGCATCTTCACCTGCCGCAACATCGACCACCACCCGCCGCTGCTGCTACTCCTGCTCTCTTCACTTCGCCTTCATCCCCCGCATGGCCCTCTGCTTTCCGCGCGCCATGGCCATGTCCATACGGCCCCCGACCAACGGTAGAGCCCACACTGGCGCCAGCTCGACCGTTACGTCCTTGTTGGCGTTGCCCGTTGCTGGGTTGGCCACTTTCATCGCGTGGACGGGTCTCGTCCAATGATGTGGCAGTGACGTAGCGGAGCATGACGTGGCTTCTGAATGCGCTCTCCGGACATCGTGCTGAGTTGGCATCATCGTGCTGACATGGCAGGACCCCGTGTTCGATTTGTTCGTTTCCGCTGGTTCTTATAATTGTAAAATTGTATTAGTGCTGAGAGGTCGTGTTAATCTATGCTAGTTTAATGGTAACTTCATTTCGCTTATGCTAATCCACCACTTGAAAATAGTTTGTGAATATATTCGATCACAACACAACAATTTAAATTATAATAACAGGTCAAATTTCTACTCAAAGTTCTCTCTCCAATAATTGAATTTACTTGATAATATTAGCTCCCAAAAATGAAAAATCAATGTAGAAAAAAAAAATCTTAAAACTCGTTTAATGTATTTTTACAGAATCATTCAAAGCAAAATGATTTCATGTGATGTTAATAGATGTATTTTTATTTTTATTTTTCAAACAACTATGTCAATCTTTTAAATATGTTTGTTATAACATTACGATTATAAATTTGTAAATTTAAAATTACACAATACCACGTGCAAGCACACACATATAGACATATACATATTATATAAAAGATGCAAAGATAAAAATATTGCATGAAAATTTAATGTTCCCACTCAATTTTAAAGTATTTAATACTCAATTTAAATCTTGTATCATTTGAAATACAAATTTATTGATGAGTAAAAGTGACTATCTAATCATTAAATCTGCCCAATTTAGTTAATTAATCATATTGTAAGTTTAAATATTTACAGCATTGATTTATAAAAGTGATATCGTAACCTTAATAATACAAACATGTCAACAATTCACACAGTAAATTCTGTATGTTGTATAAATGTGTATCACATTAGTGACACATAAAAAAAATGGTAACACATGATAATTGATAAATATTAATGATAGTATTATTAGATTACATTGCATACCTGTAATAAATATTTTAGTTTTATCATTGTGTTTTTCTAACAGAGATGGTTTTTTATAATAGACACAACTATTTTTTTATTCAATTAATCTGAAAAAGTTAAATGTGAAATTCGAAATAAAATTTTAAAATAAAGTATAATTATATAATCCACAAATATTATTTGTGATTTTATATGAATAATCATAATTAAATTGTAAAAATATAATTTTATTCATGCAAGTAATTACATATTTGATATGATATTATATTTATTTATTTGTATGGAAATTACATTATCTTAATATAATTTTGTTATAACCATAAAAATCACATTTGTTAATATATATACATAAATACACATTGTTGAGCATTATCTGATACACCATGTACTTTTAACATTTTAATAATACCAACTAGTTTTCTTAAGGGCACATGTAGATTTCTACTCATGTTTGATGCTCTAAAATCATAAATCATACTTTTTTAATCCAATTGCATCCATTGGTATTTAACAAAATAAACATTTATGTGTTAGTGTCTTTTGATATTGATTGAGATACAAGGTACTTTCATGCAAACAGAACTATCTTATTATTTTACATACACAAGGCCTAAATATTAACCATATCACTTTGAAATTGTGAAGTTTATTTTAATAAAAAATAGAAATAAGAAATATCTTATATATAATAATTTACATAAATAAACATTAGATACTTAGTTAAGTTTGCATGATTATATATATATATATATATAGAGAGAGAGAGAGAGAGAGAGGGAGAGAGACAAAATATGTGTTGGTACTGTATTACAAATACCACTAATTTATTAATACTTTCATATACACACACATTATCTTATTTAAAAGATTTGGCCTTGTTAAGGAATCTATGCCATCTTATCATGTTATTCCTCACCAAAAGCATTTTTGATAATTCAGAATTTCTCACTAACATCTTAAAAAAAACACAATAATTTAACATTCTAGGCCCATGTTGCAACAATCCTTATATTTTTTTCATAATTTTTCTCACCGAAACATAAGATATTGAGCTTTTTAAGGGTATCAAAGGTTTTGGTATCCCCAAAACCGTGCGGTCCTTCTCCGTGGAAGGGAGGCCCAATGCCCGACCGAGTGTCAGTGAAGGACTCTCTCACCGTCGTCGTCGTCGTCGTCGTCTTCTCGACGATGCAGGACTTAGGGCTTAGGCTTCGATCGTGCGATGGTGCTCTTTTGCACACCATTGCTCTGCTGTCCACACTTGTTCGAGACGGACAGCGCCGTGACGCATTGAATTAACTTCATCTGCTGAACGAAGTCGTGTGGCTTGCCTACGGCTAACTGAACATCCACTCTCTCGTAACGCAGCCATGTCGATGAACGAAGACGAAGTTTCCACACGCCGAAAGCCCTCCCTGTCTTCAGATCTTGTTACTCGATTCGGTAACACAGTGTCTTGTGCAGATTGACGAATAGGCTCGCTGACCTTCGACATCGCAGATTATAAATTACCATTGCATGAGCATGAAGTGGAATTTCTCTCCTAGATGTCGACTTACGTTGATGTTTCACTTTGGATGCCATGCGACTCGCTTGTTTGTTAGTTTCCCCCCTTTTTTACTCTCCTTATTTCTACTCGTTCTTTATCACCGGTTTTCCTGCCAGGTTTTAGACAGGATTTCTTGTAGTTCATTCGGGCTTGAGAATGTACTCAAACGTAAGAGACGAATGGTGAAGTTTTGTAACCGTGAAGATGTAGAACAGTTTTGGAATCAAGCTGAGAGCCAGCAGCTGCATTTCCAGCCTGTACTATGTACGTACTCAGGTGGCTGCCTTTTATGATCATGGACGCTATGCATGTCTGAGGCTGGAAAGATCTGGAATGTGAAGGACGTGATCGGGTTGGTTGTGAGTCATCATCATTCAGCGATGCATTTGCAATCTTTGTCCACATGGTTATAATCGCAGTAATTCTATCGCATTGTGATGAATGCAGTCGAGGCACATATAGTGATGGAACTCTATCATTCCCGCGTTTTATTCTATTGCTTCGATTAATTAGTCACCGTGCTTCTTAACAAACAGGGAGCACAGATACTGTACTTAACAGGAGGGATGATTACGCGAAACTCTCACTGCAAAAGGCATAATCGATCATTTTCTGGGGCCTATATCTTTGAGGAGTTTTAATGAGTTCAGCGTATTCCCGGGCAAAGAAATCTGGATCCGCGGCAATCGCTTTAAAAATTTGAGGTTTATGGAACGGGTCTTCAGACGGACTTTTAACTACGAACTGTACATAGTGAATTCAGGTTCCAAAGCATCCTGAATTGCCCCTAACATGCTCAAAATTGAAAGCCGCTCCTGGAAAGAATGGTTCAGCTTCTGACTAATTGTTAGATAGGAATAAGGGTTATGATGGATTCTGGTCGTGGATTTCTAACTTCCCCTACTTAAAACTACGACATATTGGCATTATTCTTCTGTTAATAATCGGTTGTCGTAGATCATGCGAACTTGGAGAGGAGTGGCAAAGTTTGATGAGCTGGGCGTTCCATCTGTTTGACCTTGTGCACAATCGACTGATACAATTTCAAATTAAGCTGGATTACAGTCTTGACAACCGAATCTGCATTCCAAATTCCTTCGAGTGGTTACGCCTAGTTTGTTGCATCATGATTTCTAGAGAGTATTCGAAGTCGTTGAGAAGTACCCCTCACAATATAAATAGCAATGTTGCATTTCAAAACGAAAAGGTTTTGTGAGGGAGTGTGGTGTTTGTACCGTTTCTTGACTTACCACTTCTAACTGCATTCTTATTATCATCTCAAAGTGATGGGACAGGCAAGGTTGGTGGCAGTGCACCTCAAAATTAACAAGCGATTGGTATATGACATAACTCAACTTCTTCAACCACTTGAAAGATGCTCCCTCAAACTTCAGCTTTAGCGGCAACGAATCCTTCGATTGGGGCAAAGTGCATGTATAGGGCACTCCTTTGAATTTTGATTCAAACGATGTTTTTCCGGATGTTCTGACATTGACTGTATCTCAAATCATGGTTGATACAGATCATAAAAATAAACTCCTTTTTCGTACCAGTAAAGGCTCCCTTTGGTAGGATGGGACAGTGTTTGTGCCAGGATGAGAGTGAGCAGGTGAAGTTGATGATGTGTACATCAGCAGAGAGAGAAACGAAATCAGCCAGAGTAAAGGTGATTGTGTTCTTTGCTGCGGAACCATGTCCCCGAAAACTGCTCGCACCTAACTGGTGCACCTCGGCTGCAAGCTTCAGCTATTTTCCTTTCACCAAAAATACACTCCCTCTTTTCTAGGTAACAAACACTCTCTCAATCAGTGGATCGGCAACAAACACTCTCTCAATCAGATCTCTGTTTTGTTTATGTTTTTTCATTTTCTTTTTTTCTCTCTCTCTGAGCTCACAGCCACACTTTGTGGGTGGCTATGGCATGAGTACCAACTCCCTTTCCTACTACGATGCAGCTGAAGATGAATGGGAATGGGGTGGTAGCAGTAGTTGGGTCATGAAGATCATGCGTGCAGGTCTAAAACCAACCAACACTTGCCTCCTCCTCCTCCTCCTCCTCTTCCTTCATAAACACCACCACCCCCTCTTGGAGATAAAAGTAAAGTTTAAAACAAAACAAAACAAAACACTCTCTCAAGCATTCCTTACGTGGCTTCACTCACCTCTGAGATGCCTTCACATCAAAGAAAGATATAGAGAAAAGAGAGCTTTGGCTGTGGTCCGTTTCAAAGCCTTACTTCCTTCAAGTGGGATTAGATTTTTGAGGTTTTGTCTCTTTTCGTTCTAGAAATAAATATTTGAGGACAGGTTTCTAATCCGCATGAACACCCACAGTAACATTCAGCTCACGCTTCAGAAGGGGAAACGTTCCAGAAGCAACGAACGGCTCTCAAGGGAGGGGAACCAACCAGGGGGACTCATTCCAGAAAACGCATTATACAAAAAAAATAAAAATACAAAAAAAAAAGCTGGGCGACTAAGATCACGGGCCGTGGCAGGAGAACGCGTAGCTGTCCGGTCCCTTCGGCCCGCGATTCGGGTCCCGCCCTGCTAATACCGAGCAGCAGCAGGGTTGGGGTCGGTAGGGACCGCACTATTCCGGAGCCTCGATGAATGGCACGGCAGTAACTAGTAACTAGTAAGTAGTACCTCGTCCTCGTCCTCGTAGCAGCTCTGTTTAGTTCAGTTCAGCCCCGACACCACCGAGAGAAGGCCACTGTAGCAGCAAACTCGCATCATTCGTGACGCCCCGGACCCCAAACAAAACACAATAACAACAACAACATCAACAACAGTATCGACAGTCACAATAGCAACAACAACGCAGACTCCGCCCACCTGGTGTGGGCTGGAATCATACTCACTCACTCACACACTCACTAGTAAGTAAGTATACCACCCCCCCTCGAATGCATCCCTTCTTCTTTATACTCTCTCTCTCATGCATTAACCACAGCCATTGTCATTGTATTGGTGCTAATAGAGGAAGAGGAAGAGGAGGAAGAGGAAGAGGAGGAGAAGGAAGAGGAGGAGGGGGAAAAGGAGGAGGAGGAAGAGGAGTAGGAGGAGTGGTGGCGGAGCATATTCGCATTGTTCTGTTTTTCGGAGTTGTGTGTGCGGCTGTGTGAGAGTGTGAGAGTAAGTGGATGGAATTTTGCCTGTGGTATTTGTGGTGGGATTCGTTGGTTGCAGGTTTGTTTGTTCGTTTGATTGATTGGTTGGTTGATTGATTGATTGCTTGATTGTTTGGTTGATTGAATGGAGGCTTGTGTGTGTGAGGGACGAGCGGGCGGGAGTGCCTAATCGAGCTCGTGTGATGTTCTCTTCTGTTGTTGTGTTTGTGGTGGCTAGCTGGTCTCCGATGTTGGTGTCTAGAGGGGTCAAAGCGAGTGTTGTGGATGTGAGAGGCATCTCTTGTGTGTGTGTGTGAGAGAGAGAGTGAGAGTTTATTTTTTTATTTTTTTATTTTTTTCGGGGTTTTATTTATTTTGTTTTGGCGATCGAGGTGTACTGAGCTTGGTTTGGGCATTGGTGGTGCAGGTGGGGAGGCTATGGTGTTGCCGGGTTAAGCAGGATGTTGACGAGTAGGTAACGGGGAGGTGATTGACAGTGGGAGGCGAAGGGGGCGTAGCAGCAGAAGCAGCAGTAAGAGGAAAAAGCGTGTTGAGGTAGGGTTTCTGGCACTAATCTGAAGTGGTAAAGAGAGGGTTTAGGGTTTGAGAGAGGAGGGAGGGAGGGAGGGAGGGAGGGAGGGAGGGAGGGAGGGAGCGGAAGAGGCGGAGTTTCATTAGTTTTGGAGTCATGGTGTCGTGAAAGTTGAACGGAAGGAATGAGGAAGCCGTTGATGTGGGTATTGGTGTGCGAGCATTGTTTGCGAATGCTTATGACCTCAGTGCAAGTGGTTAAGTTACAGTTCTGTGATCGAAATTATCCTGACAGTTGAGAGGGCATATTTTCAGCTGAGAATTTAGAAACTAGGAACTGCGGCGTTTTGAAACTATTGCTGAATTGGTGTAGCAGTCATAGACTGCACTGTCCGAAATTAGTGTTAGTCCCTGTTTGCTAGCATCGTGGTGTAGACACCAGTTCGATGCCTGGCTTGCTGGTATTGTAGAAGAGTAACGGCATTGATACTAAGGGGTAGACCTTCCATGTTTAATCCGATCGCAAACTCATTGAATCAAATGGTTGAGAGAAAAATTGAATGCTTTGGTGTTGACTTGACATTGCGTCCACTCATTTATCTAGTCAGTACGTGCTTTCAGGCGATTTCAGCTTTCGTTTCAGAATACCCGTCGTCGATGAGGGTTCAAACAGTGGGTTTACCCATGCACCAAGTGCAAGCTTCTTCGTGTCATTTATGTTGAAGATAGAATCCAGCTGATGCGTCCTGTTCAATTTATTTTGAGGCCATTGTGACGTTTGGCAAAAGTTCACTTGTCCTGACATTCTGCATGAATGTCTATCCTACGTCATGATGAAGTGTGTGTGTGTGTGTGTGTGTGTGTGCTCACTACTGAAGTTTTTAAACTTTTTGCGGCTTTCTGATATCACCACTATGGTTTTCCCGTTAGCTTTGTGGGTCTCCAAGGTTTGAATTTGCGTTCGAATTAACATATGCGAGCTTTGCCTCTCTGCAGGCACCAGCTCTGAGTTGTTAAATACGACATTGAAGGATGGCATTCACGGCAGCCACATCGCCCCTGTGCACTTGGTTAATAGCTGCCTGTGTAACCAATTCTGTAGCAGGGCTTACTGGTAATGATGCTCCTGTGAGCTCAGGGCCTCTGGGTAGAAGACTGAAGAGGAGAATTGCTCGCTCAAAGCAATTGACGGCAGAAAGCTGGTTAGGTATTGGTGTTCAAGCAGCAAGTCGGTCAGGCCAAAGTTTAGTAGCATTCTGTGAATCTGGTCTTTCAGAATTAGGAACATTTTGTAGTCTTCAGGGATTCAAAGAGTGCAACAATTTGAAGCAGGAGTCTCTCTTTGGGGATGGCTTTTTTGGGGAGAGTCTGCGAGGTTTGCGAGGTTTGCGAGGTTCCGGTTCAAAGTCTATAAGAGCTGGCCGAAGAGCTGTAGCAGGTGAGACTAGATTGGTGCAAATTATTCCTTTCGTGTGTAAATTTTGCATGAAGTGCATGCCTCTTCTTCTTCGAGCGTTGTTTGAAATTTCCGTGGAACCTTATGTTTGTTTTCAATCATTTAGTGTTACTAAAAAATGGGAAATTGTTGCAAGCACTGCATTATATTCTCAGAACATGTCATGAGTATACTGTATTATTATTATTATTATTATTATTGTTATTATTATTTTGTACCGCTATTCAACTGCTAAAGTTTCATGTGATAAAATTCGTGGATAGGGGGGAGACATCTTAGGGGTGGTAAACTTATGTGTTGTGCTAAAAATATCTTGGTTGCTAATCTTTGTGAATAGCAGGAAAGGCTTCAGCTGTTGTAGTCCAACCAGCGAAGGAGTCAGAGCAGAAGAAAAATAAAAAAACTGCAACCAAGCAAAGAAGGGTTGTGGTGACTGGTATGGGTTTGGTATCTTGTCATGGTCATGACCCTGATACATTCTATGAGAACTTATTGACGGGGAAAAGTGGGATCACTGAGATAGAGAGATTTGACTGCAGAGATTTTCCAACTGTAAGTCATTCATTGTACTCCGCTGTTTGCTGCTAATCTGGATATTTTCCGCGCATCTTACTTTTATGTAGCTCCAGCTGAATATGTCTAGCGAGCGCTGAGTATGAAGTAATAGGACACCAATAACTTCATGTTTTTTACAGCTTTGCGAACATCTGTGTGCACCGCTTTAATTCCTTGGTTTCTAACGTAGAAGGAAAGAACACTATCGCAACCTAATACTGAGTGCTGATTTTTCGTTTCGTGTGGTTGCAGAGGTTTGCTGGAGAAATTAAGTCCTTTTCGACGGAGGGCTGGGTGGCTGGAAAGTTCGCCAGGCGCATGGATAGGTTCATGCTATACCTTCTTACAGCAGGAAAAAAAGCTGTGATGGACGCGGACATTTCAGAAGAAGTCATGAAAGACTTGGATAAGTCAAAATGTGGTGTTCTCATTGGTTCTGCAATGGGAGGGATGCAGGTGTTTTGTTGCCCGATACCTGGTTTGATCTTGCTAAACAATCGTCTGCCATGATTTCCATTATTTTGCAGTGGAAATGTGTTGTAGTAGATTTAGGAAGATCAAAGATGTGGTTAGTTGTAGACGTGAAATACATCTGTTTGGGCAGACGATAATAGTTTCTTGTACGAGTGTCCAGGCTTGATGGACATTTTACCCCTTGCTATTCACATTGACTTACAGATAGGATGATGTTCAGCAATTAGTCATCATGGTCTTTCGGGTGTGCTTAATGAATTACTTGGCTGAAAGAGCTGTATTGGTTTGGCAGGTATTTAATGATGCCATAGAGGCATTACGGGTTTCGTATCGAAAGATGAACCCTTTCTGCGTTCCTTTTGCAACTACCAATATGGGCTCAGCTATGCTAGCAATGGATCTGGTATGACTATGTTCTTTGGTTGTTCTCAACGCAACGAATAGTTTTCACTTGTTTATAAAGTTTTTACTAATTTTTTTTTTCATTATCTGTCTATATATTTCCCTCGTGAGTTTCGTGGACATTTATTTATTTATTTGCCTGTGTTTTGCAGGGGTGGATGGGACCCAACTATTCCATTTCAACAGCTTGTGCCACAAGCAATTTTTGTATGCTTAGTGCCGCAAATCACATCATCAGAGGTGAAGCTGTAAGTTGGTGATCTTACCATTCTAACAGGCGATGTGATGCAGTCGTCAAAGATATGTTTTTTTTATACTTTCTAAAAGTAAAATATTATTAGTTTCTCATCTTTTCTTGTTTTCTTTCCCAAAGTGCCCTTAACGATAGCTTTGTGAAGAATTGCTGATGGAGATATGAAAGTTGGCTATCCGATGGACTATCTCAACTGAATGCCCGTCTAAAACTTATTGTTGAAAATTCACTTTACAGTCTTTCATGTACAGGATGTGATGTTGTCAGGAGGTTCGGATGCTGCCATTATTCCCATTGGTTAGTCTCCAGACGTGTTTTTGTTGGATATGAACAAGATCTGTATTATCTTCGTATGGGCGTAGGAGGCCTGTGGATTGCATCTGTTTATTTTAAATGAAAAAGAGCACATCTGTTGCATATATGTCGGGCTATGAGACCGCGATCAAAAACTTTATTTGAATAAGTCAGTAATGTTCTCAGCGTATGTCTCTCTCTGGATATACACAATTCTTGTGTCTGGAGTTCCATGATTTAGAGGGTGCTAATCTTACTTCTTAATTTATGCTTTGTTTCTTACCGATGTGGCGGTGACCGAGTTATTTAAAATGAACGTAAACTTTCTTACGGGAACTTCAATAGGATGACAAGTTGCATGACTGAGTATCTTTTTTGGTTGTCAAACATCTGTATCTTACGTATAATTTTCTGGCATTCAGGTCTTGGCGGATTTGTTGCTTGCAGAGCCCTTTCTCAGCGCAACGATGATCCAGCCAAAGCTTCTCGTCCTTGGGATAAGGTTTGGTTTGGCCTCTAGGCTCTTTTGTAATATTCTGCTTTTGTGGAGCATCGTTTTGTAGGTGCTTTTTTCGATGAAGCTGGGACACGTTTTCAGTTGTGTTTGGTTCCATGCAGAATCGGGATGGATTTGTTATGGGAGAGGGTGCAGGCGTTCTCCTGCTGGAGGAGTTGGAACATGCCAAGGTTTGTACCTTTAAGCACGATAAAGTATTGATATGTTTATTTTCATAAGAAGTTTTTGAACCCTTTTGGATTTGTTGATTCAAAGTGACGATGCTCTAAGCCCTCTCTCTTTAGATAAGACATTTGAGGATCCTGTTACGTGAAACATTATGTTTATCGGACTTGTACAGACACGGGGAGCAGAGATATATGCAGAGTTTCTCGGAGGAAGCTTCACTTGTGATGCTTATCACATGACAGAGCCCCACCCAGAAGGTATGATGCACTTTCTTGCTCTAGCCGCGTTTCCATTGCTGACTAATTTGGTGTGGTATGTTGCAATTTTTCTGGTTATGAAGCGTGATCCCTTTTTAGTGCGTGTCAGGTGCTGGAGTACTCCTTTGCATAGAAAAGGCCTTGGCTCAATCAGGAGTAAACAAGACTGATGTCAACTATGTGAATGCTCATGCAACTTCAACAAAAGCTGGTGATCTGCAGGAGTACAAGGCTCTTATGAAAGCTTTTGGTGGAAATCCTGAGGTGAGCTCTTGTGTTCTGCAGTACCTTGAGTCGTTTCTGTTCATTTCTTCCTGTTCTACTTTTGATGTTGTGGAGGTTAATGTACTCTTTGCTGTTGATGTTGTCCATTCAGTACAACCCATGTTACTTCTGATGGGACCTCAGTTGTTATGTAACCTGGTTACAGCTTAAAGTGAACTCCACTAAATCTATGGTGGGTCATTTGCTTGGAGCCGCTGGTGCTGTAGAAGCTATTGCAACAATCCAGGTGAATGTTGCACTATTTGAAGCAAGTCACAACTTAGAATATTTATTCTTGTGGACTCTTGGTCCTTCGTTACATTACCTGGCTCAAGGAAACCAGTATATTGTGGATCCACTCTCATAATTAAAATAGTTCTGTATGTGGTATTTAAATCTTCAAGCTTAATGTGACGTATCTTGTAATTTGTGGGGATTCTTTATGGCTCACCGGACTTGCGTACTTCAGCTGGTTGCTTGATACATTATATTTAGAACTTTCAACACGCAACTTGCAGATGTATGGACTAATCAGAATGTATGTATACTTCAATCTGTTCTTAATCGTCACCAATTGCCTTGATGCAGGCAATCAGGAGTGGTTGGGTTCATCCAACAATCAACCTTGAGGATCCAGAGAGTGAAGTGGTAAGCCCCTCTAATACAGTTTTGAGAGCACGTTACAGATTGAACCTTCAGACAATCAGCTGTGGTATCATAGTTACGTATTTATATCTTTTTGAAGGTCTTTCTTTTAGAATGATTTCTACGTTATCTAACATTTTAGTCGATCTTGACCAACTGCAAACAACGGACAGAATCTCGGAGGATTTCGCTGCGTATCCGTTCCCCTCAAATTCCTCAGTTGTTTGCAGTTGCCCAATATCGATCTTGCCTGCAAAGGTGTCCATTTAACATGTGTACCAAAGAATAACTTCGTGCTGAGACTATTTATATGCAGAATTTGTTTTTATTGCCATCTCCTAGTAATAACTCCGAATTATTATTTTGGTTGGATTTCTAATCTTCGTAGCTGCACGTTCAAATGGTCTCCAGGATATGAACGTGATAGTTGGAGATGAGAAGCAGAGATTGGATATCAAAGTTGCTCTGTCGAACTCCTTTGGCTTTGGGGGTCATAATTCGTCAATTCTATTCGCTCCTTACGTGGAAGCCAATGAGGAAGAGTGACGTAACACTCATCTGTGGACGCACTTCCTCCTTCCCCAGGACTCCGAAATGTTTTGGCTGTGATCCTGTCCGACGCAAGAGTAAGATACTGGCTCTGTTGCCTATGCTAGAGATTGGTTTATCCATCAAGGCTCTCTCTCAAAATGAGCTACACCAACATTACAATGCTAATCCTTCGTGTAATTGATCGCTGAAATGAAACGTGTACAGATCCAGAACTTTTTTTTCCGTAACTTGTGGGTCTTTTGTGCAGTCTGTTGGCTTTTGTTATTTTTATGCTGTGTTTCTACGATATGTGACAAGTGCGTGACAAGTGTATGTTTTGTTTGTCACTATTAGAAAATGACTAGAAAGTTGCAGATTTCATGTACACATTTATTTAACATTTTATGAAACTGAAAGGACCAAGTGTGGTAGAGAATCAAAGAATCAAAGGATGTTTTGATAGGAAAATTAGAAGATTCATATGTTTAGAAATATTAGAATCGTTAAAATCAAATTTTTTTGGCTACTGTGTGAGAATTAAAGTCGTCAAAGTTATTTCAACAACTTTGATTTGTTCAATTGCAATCGAACAAATCAAAGTTGTTGAAATAACTTTTTTACAAATCAACAGTGTTAAAGCAATGCAAAAAATGTTACATGTTAAGACATTTAGGAAGTGTAAGAGCCTTGCAATATTTTGTTTGAGGTTTGTTTGTAATGCTTGATTTTCAATTGATTTGAAGTTTCTCTATCCAATGTTAGAAAATATTTCAAACTTTTATGTTCAATATGCAAATGAAAAGATTACTTTTAGTTTGTGTCTTACTTCATTAGTAATTTTATTTGAAAGTAGGAATAAAGATATCTTTATAAAAAAACTTAATATTCTTTCTATTATTGAAATATGTGATGAAGGAATGTGGTTTAGAAAAGTTCCAAGCAATGGTTTACTAAGTATGCTGCACATATGATAACAAGCATACCCAACTTTTAGTAGTTCAATTTTTGTACCAAATGATTGTTGTGTTTACTTTTATTCACCATTTACATTTCATATGAAGAAGCTGAACTGGGGCATTCCTTCTTAAATTTGATCCATCAACAGTTATAATCTTATTCTCGAACCACTTGCTTCAAAGGGTGCTAGTTTTCAAAATGTTTCAAGTGCATATTTTAAGAGTCTAAAAGTTTTCCCAAACCTTAAACCTGCTAGCATGGGTTAACATATGCACTTCCCTAAACCTTATGGTAGATTTGAAGCACATCAAATTGCAGTTGTGACAACAGAATTTGTAATTATTTAGAATAGAAACCCAGTCTTTTTATTCTACTGAGTTTCACCATCAATATACTTTGACATTATTTTCAATACGATGGATTCAATCCAGAAGTTTTAGAATCAGAGTGAAATTTCAGAAAAGCTAAAATTCAAATGAGATTTTTTTTTTTTTTTTTTCATTTTTTTCATTTTATTTTGAAAAGCGAGAATGTCAGTGACGTTACCTGGGTCTTCTGGTGAGACTGTTCATACGCCATGTGTGCGCTTGATTTCCAAAATCACCGAGGCTCTTTTCGCTGCCCCTGAGTTTAGTTTCAGTTTTTCCTGTTTCCTGTTGTTCGATTGTTTCGTCGATCTGCAACTCCGTGTTACAGAATTGTCCAGGAAATGTATTGAACCATCAGTTAAGCTAAGCCCCTTGAAAGATATGATTGGCCAGATTCCTAGGCTCGTCAGTGATTGTGCCCTGCCGCCATCTTCAATCGGATAACGGATTGAGACGAGAAGGGCTAGATGACTTGATCCATGTTCACTTCACGGACTTGTTCAGCAGCGTCAATCGCCTTTATGATCTTTCCTGCATATTTGCATGGTTTTGAGCAGAGACGATCATCCGTCTGAGGTACTGTAAATTGCCCGGTAGAAGCCGGCCCTGCAAAAATGCATTGGAGTCCATATGGCCAGCAGATCAACTCCACAGGTTATTGCGATCACGAGAGTCGATTTACAACGAGTGTTCAACGAGTTTTGGAACGAGTCTTAGCCATGGTAGCTTTCAGGAAGTCGGTTTCTTCCCATTTTCTTAGCACCTCATGACATAAACAGCGGTGTCAATCGAATGTTGTTTGATAGCACGTACCATTACCTTTATTTTGAATCTGCAAAAGTAGGGATCGAGGTGTCTCGGTGCTTTCTGGTAACAACAGTCTATGATAGAAGTCACGCCCATCGGCTCTACCGCTCCTCCCTAGGCACGATAATTAACGTGTACAACTAAGAAACAACCAAGGCCAAAAAGATGCATGATCGAAATCGACATGAATTCGAAACGACTCTCCGCTGTGAAGACAAAATGAATGCCATGGCCATTTCCAAGCGTTTCAATTCCACCATACGCGGTCAAGTCCTAGTCAAGTTAATGTAATAACTGAACAACAAAAATCAATGCATACAAGAAGCATAGTATTCTTTTTCTTAACTTTATATGACTGACAAAAGCTAATAAGCTTCATTGATCATTCATTGTCTTTCATTTTGATAGTTAACAATATTTTTTAAATAAATATGAAAAAAACTTGAGACAAGCTAGTTATACATTGCATATTACTACATAAGCATTTTGCAAATACAAATAAAAAAATCAATTTCTTTTCCAATTTTAACCCCTATGCACTAGCATTCATATATATATATATATATATATATATATATATCACCTATTCATTTCTTCATGACATTTAAACTCTTAAAGTTGATGCCTTAAATTTGGTCTGTACTCACATGTAATAAAAAAATATTATTTTTTGCATCAATGAATTCAAACATATTCAAGAAATTGAAAGAGAAACATATTAATTATTTTGTAGACCTTTGCTGAGTTCTTAACTATTATCAATACTACTGCTATTGTTTCTTATGTGTTTTACACCTGGTATTGTGTAGTTTTTCTTCAATACTATAGTAGTAGCCTCAATTTTTTGTTATTCTTGTTTTCAATTACTTTTTATATTGTTAAAAAATATACCTATTTATTAAAATACATATGTATATATTATAATCAAATAAACAGCAAAGAACTAAAGATTAAGGATGTGTTAAACAAAATGAGAGGTTTTTAATTTTTGATAAAACAATGCCAGAGTAATTTTTTGGTCTCTTTATACCCCAACGTAATGTTTTTTTCAACACAAATACACATGGTATTTTCTTTCTAAATTTTTTTTTAGTTGTTTGACATCAAAAACATACAAATCTAAGTGTGTAACAACATAACAAGCATTTTGCACAAACAATCATAAGGGTGAATACCTATAAAAATTATATCGTTTGTTTTTTAAACCTACATTTGGACTAGATTATTCACATTGACATCATTAAAAATAATAATTAAAGCTCATTTTATTTACCTTGAAATTGGTGTTAACTTATAGAACTTTATTATTATTATTATGCTCATTTCAATATCATATAATAAAATCTACAACATTCAGAATATTAAATATTTTAAAATGATATTTATTCAATTCTTATGTAAATCGTGTATCATGATTTATTTAATATATATATATTTTCCCACTCTGTAGCAAGTTAAATGACCCACAACCTCCAACGATATTCGTTCATAACAAGGAGACGATATTTGTGTTTCGTCGTCAACGACGACGACGCTCGTCCATAGGGGAGAATCCCAACAAGCTTGGAGAGAGGCCTCTTGGGTTGCTGCCCAACGGCCGGGACGGGCAAGGAGAATGTCGGGTCTGGAAGGCGAAACTGACGTGGCTCCGAAATCGAAGCCACGTCGTATGGCAATCACAGCCCAGGTGGCGCCCGCGCCGATGCGCAGGTTGAGCCAGCTGGCGCGCCACGTCAAGCTGATTGCTAGATGGGTGGTGGCAGGGGGTGCCCTGCCCCCTCCGCGGGCTTGGATCACCGTGCGAGGAGGAGGTTGACTGCGAGAGACCCAACCAGGCTTAAGATTTCTGTTGGAGGTCGTTGGTGAGAATACTGCATCTCAGTGGGGGATCTTACGGACCCAACGGATGAATCTTGTTTTCATCCACACCATCTCAATGAACTGGTTTCATCCATAACTTCTTTGCTTTGTTGACAAAAACCTCAACTCCACCAAGATGCCATTGCTCTTGTTTCACTAATGACTTCATTTTTAGATAGAAATGACATGTGGTGTAAACTTGGTTCTTATAAAGAGGCAATGTTCATATGGCTACTATGGCATAAAGGTGTGGCTATTAATACATGGAGAAGACAATTTAATTCTTATATTGACATTCATTGTGCATTGTGGTATCTCCAACAATCAAAGACAAAGCTACACAAAGTTATGGAAGTATAAACAAGATCAAAAAACTTGGAATTGGACAAATTTAATTGTTTATGAATTGACAACTAATCTTAAAATATGGAATCCATGGAAAGTATTTTTATAGAAGGAAGCAATTTTTGCACAAAACCTCCTTGCTCAATTTAAAAGTCTTAATAAGATCTAGTCCTTATTAAGAAGACTTTGCTTATAGACCTTATGACTTCAAAGAAATAATTATGTTTTTGAAAAGGAAGTTTGGAGTAATTTCTAGGTTAAAAAATTGATTTGAAAGATTTCATTGAATATAGACAAATAAGCCAACTAGCCATTAATATATATATATATATATATATATATATATATATATATATATATATCATAAAATATTAGATAATTTTTTTAAGATAAAAAAATACTTTTTTGATACCAAATCATCCAAGATAAATAAATTAAACTTTAGATTACTATAAGGTAGAGTGATAATGCACAAAAGTATTAATATTACTAAAGAAAAAAAAAACTTTGAAGTCACAATACATATCATCAATAAAATTGCATATAAAGAGAGTATAGAATAAGATGTTTTTTTTAACTTCCAACATCTATTATTTATAGGTGGTGGATGCTCCTTTAAAAGACAACTTCTATCCTTTGACTTTTATGCACATAATGTCATGAACATATGCATGTAAGCTAGTAATTACATGTATAAATAGGTAGAAGTAAGTAAAAATAAGTAAAAATAAATAAAAGTAAGTTAATTCTATAATATTTACTATGAAAGCTTCTTGGAAGCTTCATAGAAGTTACTTTGACTTTATAGATGTCTTTAATTGACTTTTTGGATTAGAAACGTGGTCAATAAGTTGGCCATGTGCCAAACATGTTGTTAGCTTGAAAACCAAGCTAACTATGTGGCCCACATG